TCCTTTGAGAAGGCTGCTTCCCTATGTGGGCCAAGCTGTATTCAAACTCAGGGTTTTCCTACCTCAGATTTAGTGCTAGGATTCCAGGTGCATGCCATCATGCACCGTGCCTGGCCTTTTCTTTAATTTCCATGTCATTCTTTGTCATAAGGGCAAACAAACAAACCAAACCAAAAACAAAACAAAACAAAACAAAAAACAACAACCAATCTTTTAAATGATGAGCTGTTATAAGCATTCAGATAGACAGAGGCAATTCAATTAACTCTTATGCAACCACTGTTTTGGTTTAATATTTGGCCTAATGTTTTTAGGCTTTAGAGGAAGAGGAAGAACAGGAGGAGGAGAAGAGAAGGACTAACCACACTTCTCACCCTTTCTGCCTCCCTCCCCAGAAGCTTACCATCCCATAGCATGATATATATCAAATACAAATACATATCTGACCATATAAGTACATAGCCATAAATAGTACTTGTTTTGTGTTTATAAAACTAAAAAAATATGCCAGCACATACTGTCTCCTTCAATCATTTTTTTCATTTAACAAAATGTTTTTGACATTCATCAATACTGGCATATATACACTTCATCAAATGAACAGAGCATAGGCTCTCTCTCTCTCTCTCTCTCTCTCTCTCTCTGTGTGTGTGTGTGTGTGTGTGTGCGCGCGCGTGTGTGCCTAACTGAGAATCAAATTCTTATAAGCTCCCTTTGTGTTCATCGTCTCCTCTGCCTGCCATTCTTGCCTCTCTCTTACTCATTCATCCAGCAATTTTCACAGCGTGGATTTAATCTGTTCCATTACTTCTTTGAGTTTACATTCATCTGACACTGAAATTGAGAGGACCTCTAGTCTTCAGTTTCAGGAAAGCGAAAAGTAAAGGGGTTGTATGAGTAGGTCTCGTGTGTCATATGGCAGGTACTTACGAAGACTAAAATTCACTACATGTTGAAAATTTGAGTTTAGTGTGGTTCTTTGCTAAATCCGTAACTCTACTGTTTTTAATTATGTGGAATGTGTGTGGATATGTGCAAACAGGCGCAGGTGCCCATGGAAGGCGGCAGAGCTGAACTCCCCCCAAACCTGGAGTGGCGTGTGGTTGTGAGCCACCCAGCGTGAACGCTGGGAATGGAACCTGGGTCCTCTGAAAGAACAGTATGCATTCCTATCTATGGAGCCACCTAGTCTGCCCTACATGGGTAACTGCAATCATGTGTTCAGTGAATCTTCCCTGGGATGCCCTCTTCAAACGTTTAACCTCCTCCCTACACCTTCCTATTCTTTTCTTCACTTTTATTTTTTATCACACCATTTATCAACAATTTACTTGCAAGGATTTTTTCCTTTCATTTTGCTTACTTTCTGCTTCCTTCCTGGAATGCAAGCTTCATTAAAGAAAGTTTTCTATTTATTGTGCCCCCTGTTGTTAGTGTGATTTCTAAAATAGTATATCAGACACTGCACATGCTTGCTAACTATGTCCTGGGTGAATAAATAAATGGACAAAAGAATCCAACGGCCATCTTTGTAAGTCTCCTTTGTACTGGGTGAGAATTTCTCATTGGTAACTACTTAGACATAAAATTGTGCTCTGTATTGTATGTGCCTTGCCAACTTGCTGTTCACAATGATTGATATCATCTCCATTCTCATCAGCACCACCTAAAAGCCCTCATTTTCCACAGCCACAGCATCTTTCTTTCTCCACCACTGGCAATGCATTAATTTAAAATGTAGAAACAACAGTTGAGATCAAAATGAAACACAAAATAACCACTAGCGAACTTGACCAGTGATCCTAATAAGCTGGGTATTCTTGGAGCTTATTTTAGAGATGGATTTGTTACTATGGACTTGCCAACACACCTAAGTTATAGGGCCTTCTGGTGAGAAAAACAAAAACAAAAACAAGCCAAAAATCAAAACAAAACCGCACAACTCCTTTCTCCACTATTGCAATGGTAACATAAAACCTGTCACAAAAGTCTGGACAAAAGCCCACCTTATTTACCTATTTGTTTATGATCTTAAAAAGGAGACTGTCTTAGCTAAGATTGACAAAATGCACACATAAAATACATGGCATGCTTTTTCAGATCACCTTCAGAGCAAGGGTGTAGCTCAGTAGGGCATTTGATTAATATGTACAAAGCCCTAGGCAAGATCCCCAGCCCTGTCCTTCATTCTACAAAATTTTGTAATTGCTGGAAACATAAAACTCATGTCTAAAGAGAAAATTTGGTAAAGACCTTGGTTATAGACATGGTCAGTTTCTTTTAAGTCCAAAAGAGAATTGAATCTACCCAAGTTCGTTCAGAAAAGCCCTATGATCAAAAGAGGCAACAAAATGATACATTTTAAAATATGTTCTTAGTCTGGAAGGATCATGAGATGCTGCAGTATATCGCAAAAGTGGTCACAGTTCCCTGTTCCTCTGTCTCTGTGCCCATTGTAATAAAGCTATGAAGTGATAGCTATAAATAAAAAATTTCCCCTCTCCTTTTGAATGTATACTGGTTTTCTGACTTTTGGTGGTCATTGAATGTGGAAGAAGGAACAAATTTGCTGATGCAGAACTTAGGCTTCTGTCTGAGAACCTGGAACACATTGGCTAGTAGCCATGGGAAGATGCCTTGCCAATTTGGTTATTCATTCCAGGCTCAGCATGGTAAGAGAGCCTAAGTAAGTTGCCAGCATGACTGGCAGTCGACCACAGATACCTAAGATCAGAACTATCCTTCTGAGCCCAGCTTAAATTATGGACGTTCACAATCATGAGTTCAATAATTGCTGGATAATTAAGCTACTACCCTTTGCAATGTTTACAAATTATCTCAGACCAACTGGGCTCTCCACCATTCAGAAAACAAAATGGTAATTCCTTCCTTCCTTTCCTTCCTTCCTCCTTTACTTCTTTCTTTCTTTCCTTTGCTCTCTCTCTCCCACCCTATTCTGTTTCATTTATGATGATGAAATTATTGACTGTATCTTGCTTTTTCAAAAGGCTTCATGGAAATATAACAGAAAAATCTTTTTCAATGAAATATGAGAATGTTTTATAGACTCTTTAACATCATTCCAAACCAAGTAATAATCATATATATTGCTGGTCACCCGTCTGTAACGGATACATGGCCGTGTTAAATGATTTTGCTTTCTACAAATGCCAGCAACTGCTGCATCATTTACCAAGGACACCAACCTTATAAACCACTGGGAGGTTCGTGGGGAAAAAACATCTAGTTTGAAAACTTGTCTTTTAAAGGAAATATGTAAGAAAACGAAAACTTAAAAGAAAATCGGTGTTCTGAGCATAACCCTTTTTTCACCCAGGAACAAGGGTCATTCTGAGCTTGTGGAGATGAACTGTCAATTTCCGTTAGGTAGAACAAACACAAAGAGACCAAGAATCCAACCAAAGTCTGGGAAAACGCAAAGAAAACCGCAGAGTGTGAGCAGCAGTCCTGAATGAGCTGAGGTGGTTCAGGCAGGGTTCCTTGGTGTTGTGCAGAGATAACATACACCGTGTGGTAAGTCTGTATGCAGTATGTTCATAATCAGGGCCACGGCTGGGTATGATAGCCCATGCCTGCAACTCCAGGGATTGGAGGCAGAGGCAGGAGGATTTAAAGATATCTTGGCTGCACAGCAAGTTTAAGGCTAGCCTACACCACGTGAGAGTGTCTCTCCCCAGACCCTAAGCCACTATAACAAGAACGACAAGTACAACCAATGCTGCAGTGAAGTCACAGAGTGCCACGTGGGTGAATCTAGGCAGACATACCTGGGCGGCACACTCATTAGGCTTTTCATCTCAGCCAAATTTTGGTGGCTGTACCTTCAGAGAACTTTTACTGTTCCCATATTCAGCCCCACAACTTCGAAGCTTAAGAAGTATTGCACTGATAGGCAAGAGCTCAGGCTCCACATGTAAGAAGATGCACATTTTGATATTTTCACCTGCAGAAGTCTAAACAGAGGTAAGTTTCCATGTGGCAGGGAATCTCTATTGATGATTGCTGAGGAACAGAGCAAAACTCTTGGGGCATAAAATTGATAGCTCCAAGGACTAACGAAAATTAACACAGTTGTTTTTATTAAAAAAAAAAAACCAAACAGAATGAGCCAAATGCTTCCCATTTTTGTGTTTATTTTTTTATGGTAAATAGTCCAAAATCTGTTGTCTGAAGCTGGGGTAAACACTGACCTGTCTTTCTCTTTGTTAGGACTATGGAGAAGAAAATATTTTGGTTTCAGTAAGAGATTTTTATAAAATTTCTCATGAAATAATTGAGGACAAAACAAAAACCTATGTCCTTACCATAGAGGGACTGTAACTGGCAGCACAGCCACACTTAAAGAATGTCCACTGACCTGGGCATGGTGGCCACACACCAGTACTTCTAGTACTCAGGAGGCTGAGGCAGGGGGATTGTAAGTTTGAGGTCAGCTTTGGCTATATAATGAGTTTGGATAGCCTGAGCTGTATAATGAGACGCTGTCAAAAAAAAAAAAAAAAAAAAAAAAAAAAAGCCAAAAGTGTTAATTACCAGAATAATATAAAACAATAACTGATGAATAATGTTCCCAACAGCAACAGCATAATAACCTAATGCTGTTGAATATTAAGGCCAGTTTGGGAAGTGTGGTAATATTAACAACACTAATAGAGCTCTACTGGTCTCTGGCTATGTGCCACAGGACTATGTCTATTTACATACTAATACATATTTGTTTTAAGCCATTGACCAAATTTTCAAATCAAATTGTTCATGTGACTATTCATGGAGATAACCTAGAACCCCTGCACAGATGTAGCCCATGGCAGTTTAGTGTCCAAGTGGGTTCCATGGTAATGGGAAGAGGGACTGCCTCTGACATAAACTGATTGGCCTGCTCTTTGATCACCTCCCCCTGAGGGGGGAGCAGCCTTACCAGGTCACAGAAGAAGACAATGCAGCCATTCCTTATGTGATCTGATAGACTAAGATGAGAAGGAAGGAGAGGAGGACCTCCCCTATCAGTGGACGTGGGGAGGAGCATGCATACAGAAAGGGGAGGTAAGGTGGGATTGGGAAAGGAGGAGGGAGGGGCTTATGGGGGGATACAAAATGAATAAAGTGTAATTAATAATAATAATTAAAAAAAGAGGAAAAAAATTGTTCATGTGGCAAAAAAGAAGAGTGCTTTAAATAAAAAAAAAAAAGGATCCAAACAATTGGAAGAAAGAAAATGATATATTTGACAACATGATATACAGGTTTGCCTGAATCAACCACAGCAGTTAGTATTTTTTTTTTTTTTAAGAACTTGAATTTTACTGACTAGAACCTAGGGGCTTACAATGTTGTATGATCAGCTCCCAAATGCAGTATTAGAATATGGAATAAGCCACACCACTGTGTTAATGAGATAATAGTTTCATCATGTGTTAATAAGACCTCGGTTTTCATAATGCATCTGAGGCACTACACTGAGTTGAGTTCCCTGGACAACATTTTGGGGGGAGTTGTAAATCCATCTATGTTAAGGTGACAGCAATCAGGGTTGATCCAATTTTGATGGTTCATGGGACTGGGGCATTTAGTTTCCCAAAGCCTAGGCTCAGCAGAGAGAAAAACATCGCGAGCTACCTATAGAGTTGTTCTTCGTGGTTTGAGCCAGCACAGGCAGCTAAATAGGTAATGCGAGTGGAGTTTCAGAGGGTGGAGTTCATAGCAACTGCAAGGGGGGCTTTATCCAGCCCTGATGGGCCACAGGTAGATATCTTTCTGTGGGAAATTACCTACATTGTTGGGAAGTTCCTGTCTAGGCCCCTTGTCACCTGTGACCCTGCTGTGGTGGGAATCCCTAGTCCTTGCAGGCCCCTGGACCCCTGACCCCAGAGGTTCTTTCTGGCTCCCAAGTCAGAACAGATGGTATAATCAAAAAGTTCCAGTAGGTCAGCTGGCTCAGGCACTGTGGTTTCCCAACACTAGTAATTTGTACTCTGGAAACAAACCCAACATTGTCCGAATCTTGCCACTTCTGAAGGCGTGGACGTCAGGTCAACTAGAGAAGAAAAGTTCCGTTCAAAATGGAAGCCACCCCTGTGTGTTCTGAGATTTCCTGATTCACTGTGGTCACCCGCGGATTTGGCATGAGGAACTTTAGAAGATCTTATATGTCTTCCCCCCACTGGGTCAGAGAGTCCTTCAGCTCTGTCACAGGGTCTCTCACTGCAGTCTGCCTGGTACCCACTGTAGACTCTATGTTGGACATACTTTCTGCCTTTCTAAGTCCATATGGGTCAGTCTTTACTGCCAGATGCTCCTGGGCTCCTGGCTTTACTCTCTCTTTGCTGTGGTGGCCCAGTCCTGCCCACGCACTGTCTAGATTTTGGGGATCATTGCCTTTATTGCCCTGAAAGGAATATCCAATGACGAGATTAACTGCTACTCATTGCCTAGGCAACATGGCATTCCAAACAAACAAACAAACAAACAAACAAACACTTATTCTAAATTTATACAATCCCTGTAATGACTCTTCAGGGCAGGTATTATGCCCTTTTTAGAGGACAGGGACCTGAGGATTGGTCCTACTTCAATGTCGCCCATTGTTGGTCTGCTCTTGTGGGTCAGCACCTTACAGAAATGACACCAGCTTTTCAGTTAGGGTTGTTGATTGCTTCTTTGTGTGTGTTTGTTTATTGTTATGGGATGATACAGGGTGCTGACGCTGGCAAGGTGAGGACTCTGTAGTGTCACCCAGTTCTACTCTTTCGCATTGTAATGCTAACCACAGATTCTATTTCCTAACGATACTTTTACTGATCCCTTGGGAGAAACCAGCACCATCAGCCAGTACCCATAAACATCAAACTCCATGACAGAGTGGCTCTGCCACTGGCAGGGTTGCCACAGACAAACACTCTCCACACTGTTAGAAAGAGAAAGTGGAAAATCTGGGCCATAACCAGGCAGTGGCGGGCTGTTGGGTGGGTGGCCTTAGCTGGGCTGTTTAATCCATTTCTGCTCATTAGTTTTATCACTGATGCTACAATTAAACTAGGCAGAGAGTGCAGATGCACTGCAAACTATAAAGCACTCTAAAAAGAGCAATTAGTTACTGACTGTGCTGGCTACTTTTATGTTAACTTGACACAGTCATCTGAAAGGAGGCGAACCTTGATTGAGAAAACCACGCCATAAGATTCTGCTGTAGGGCATTTTCTTAGTTAGTGACTGGTGGGGAGGGCACAGCGTCCTGTGGGTGATGCCATCCCTGGGTAAGTACCATTTCTCCATGGCCTCTGCATCAGCTCCTGCCTCCACATCCTGCCCTGTTTGAATTTCTGTCCTGGCTTTCTTCAATGACAGGCGAGCAGTGATTTGGAAGTGTAAGGTGAAAAAACCCTTTTCTCTCAACTTGCTCTGGTCATGGTGTTTCATCACAGCATAGTGACCTAACTAGGGCAGTTGTCTTTCCCAGAGAACTTCTCCCATTCAGAGAATCTAACTGGCCTGCTAGTGCGAAAGATACGTCCCACCTACCATGGTTCCAACACTTTCTCTTTACCCTGGCTTTATCCATTTCTGTCCTCTCCACCCAATGCTCTGTTTTACTTATTCGTAGATTGTATATTTCTCTGTACCTGACATGGATGTCCACAGTGGGTGGTTTTCATCTGTTTTCTCCTCTCTCCATCTTCAGATCTGTGACCAGTACTAGTATCAGGCACAGACAGGGATCAGTCAATCCTCGTTGCATGACTGAGTGGCACATGGCATCTACGGTCTGAACAGCTTAGGATGCTGTGTTAGTTACTTTCTCTATTCTTGTGACCAAATACAATATCAAGAAAAACTTATGGTAGAGGGTTTCTTTTGGCTCAGAGTTTCAGGGGGTGAAACCCACCATAACAGGGAAAGAATAACAAGCAGAAGTATGGATCCGGTGAGGGAGAAGAGAGACGCTGGGCTGAGCTAAGGAACCTCGAGGCCACCTCCAGGGACCAGCTCCCTCCAATGAGGTCTCATCCTAGCTGAGCCTATGAGGGGTGTGTCCCTCTCAAACACACACTACCACACGACACAATAATATCCTGTCTTGACATATCCCCACCCATGAGGATTCCGAATATTTAAATTTCAAATCTTTCCCAATTCTTCATTCATGCCCAAGTCGTTTCATGTGACCGCTGTGTAGTCCATTCTGGAATCTCCTGTATTTGTTTCTCACCTGCTTACAATTTCCATTAGACCTGTGAGCTTCAAGGATGGCATCCAGTATGGCATTCAAGGTTTAGGGAGTTCTCTTAGCCAAAAAAGACTGAAAGAGCAGCCCTGTCTCAACGTGATGAGCTGTATGCAAGCCAGCTGTCTGTGACTTTGTTTAAACTCCAATTGGGCATTGTTCTGCGCAGAAAGCCTCTCGTCCATCATCCTGCTAATGAGTTAATGAGTAACTAGACTCCTGTATTTTCCAGTTATGTGCCCTACTTTATTTCTGGGTAGTAACAGCATGAATGATTTGAAAGGAAGGGTCCAAGAGAGGAAAACACATGCAGAAATGTCTCTGACAGTATAGCTATGTCAAAGAGAGGTATCACTAGACTTAGAGTTTAGAAAGCACTTCAAATGACCAATAGTCTGCATTCTATTTACTATGTAATACAATGTAGCAGTTAAGAGAAAAACACCTATTCCAAAATCTTGAGCGTTTCAAGAAGATTGTGTCGAATCTATGCCCCAGCAGGCTCCATCTAGCCTACACAAGATCATTCGTTTCTCCCACGCATATTTTGCATTTGTTTGGGTTTGGGGGACATTTTCTCTGTTCAGTGTTTGACTTTTATTTTTTTCTTTTGAACTCTGCTGCAAGCTTAAAAGTGACTAGTTCTGCACAGATGCCTCAACACTAGAAGAGCAACTAAAATCATGCCTGGCCATGTATCCCACTTGACCAAATTTAGCTACTTGGTCTGCTGCAATAAGATGCGATAGTCTGGGTGGTTCATGAAAGATAGCCATTTGGGGCTGGCTAGATGGCTTAGTGAGTAAATGTGCTTCCCACCATGGCGAGGGCCCCGTGTTCAGTCCCCAGAATGCACATGTAGGAGGGAGGGAATCAATTCCTACCTACATGCTGTCCTCTGACCTCTGAATGTGCATCAAAGCATACACCCCCTCCCCAAACAAATACATTGTAATAACAATTCGTGTGGTCATGGTAAGTGGAAGTCTGAACTCAAGGTGCCAGACCGCTCAGGTCCTAACAAGGTCTCTCTCCCCATTTGCAGGCAGCCACGGAAGAAGAGAATAGCATGGCAGAAAAGAAGAGGGACCTTTTTTTTGGGGGGGGGGCTCTTCTCTAAGGGTTGTAATCCTGTTTATGAGGGACTAGGGACTTGACCTGACTTTGGAGGGGACACAGGCATAGTATGTACACGGCAGTCATCATACAAAATCTCTGCATTTTTAACACCTTAGGAGAAAGAGGTGGCTGTAGGCAGCAACGTGGGAGGTAGGGAGCACTCTGAAACACACTGCATAGATCGATCACTCTCTCTGCCCCCTGTCTGTTGCTATGCCCCCGATGTTGGTGCTACCCCAAATTCATAATCTGAAATTTCACCCTCAGTATGATGCTGTGAGGTGGTAGGCCCTTCGGAGGTTAAATTTGGATTTAGCTCATAAGGGTGGGGCCCTCCAGGATGCGATGTGTGCCTTTATAAGAGAATAGAAGGCCTGGTGATTTGGCTCAGTTAGCAGAGTGCTTATCTTGAAAACATGAAGTCTGAGTCCCAGGCCCAGAACCCATGTGAAAAAGCCTAGTTTGATGGCATGTGCTTGTAATCCCATTATTGGGAAGACAAACAACATAGCTCCCTGGAGTCTCATGGCTAGCCTTGCTAGACTAACCTATCTGTGGAGTCCCAGGCCAGGGAGAAACCTGGTCTTCAGAGAGGTGAGTGGCTTTCGACAAATGACTCGAGATTGTCTTCTGGCCTGCACATGCATGCGCACACAGATGCGCACAGCCACACACAGTTATGAAACTCAGACTCTTATTCTCGCAGATTGAGCTAAACAAGACAGGGGTAACTTAACTGCCCATCCCCATGAGGATGAGCGAAACTGAGAGAAGTAAGGTAAAATGGCAACAGAGCGCCTGGGTTCTTTAAGCCCAAGGGCTGCACAGGGCCTTAAGACAGATTAAAACGCACAGAGCCGGGAGACATCCAATCCCCTTGTTTTCTAGAAGAAAGCCGATTGCTAGTCAAGGTTGCAGGAAAATGAGCACAGGCTATAGACAGATGGTTCCCCGTTTTATGAGGCTGGAGAGCGCGGTTTTTCATCCATCGGCCAAGAGAACTCCGCTTTACAAGGAAAATGCCTCATCGGCCTGATGCCACCACTAGAAGCTGAGGGTAAAGTCGCAGACTTGCCCCTTTCCTAACTGGATCAAACTGCTTCTGACTAGTAAACACTCAAGTAGGACATAAAATCAACACTGTGTGACACCAGTTAAAAATTATTTCAAAGCCAACAATTTCAGCACTCTGTAATTTTTCTCCTCTCTCTAGGACGCAGTTAACAGAACGGAATCATTACGCCGAAGCACATGACAGGAATGTCATCTCTTCCTGCCACGTCTGTGCTATTTATGACTTCTTCAGCCTATGATAATTGTTAGTAACAAGTAGACTGTATTCAAAAAGCAGGATTGATTTGCCATTCAGTATTATAACCCACCACGAATAGAGTAGTGTATTCTTTAGTTAAACTGATCGTAAAAAGTGAGAAAAATGGGATGGAGAGGTGCACACCGTCCATACAGATAACCTGGGCTAAGCAGGCACTTTCCCTGAAAGAAACAAGGAGCACGTATCCGGGTCACAGTAAACAGCATGGCGGGGGAGAGTAGTGTGGAAGGACCACATCAAGTGAGGCTTTCCAGGCGTACACGCCCTTAAATATATTTACTTACGTCCTTCTTTTACCTTAAGAGAATAGCCAGTGAATACACAGACAAATGGCTCACTTCTTTAGATGTCAACCAAACCCAAGGCCTGGACATACTGCCAAGGAACATAGAGCTCAGCCTCCGCAGAGGCTCCTGGGTGTGATCCTTGCCTCTTCCACTGGTGTCGTACTTCACATTTGAGCACTACTGGCCAGGCCTTTCTTCTAAGGAATGGAAGACAACATTTCTCACATACCCACACACATGTACACTTATCTCCAGACGAGAGCGTTGGTTAAATGCCTATGTCAGTCTGACCTCATGTTAAGCACATGCTTTTTGTTCTAGCCAGCACCTTTACCAGAGTTGACCAGACCATAATAAGGCTTTACCAGCAGCTCTGTCACGCTGTGATGGCAGCACTTGCCTGTTATCTCAGCACTTGGGAGGCAGAGGCAGGAGGATCAGGAAATTAGTGGGTTTAATGGCCTTGAACTCAATGAGTTCAAGACTAGCCAAGGCTATGTGAGATCCTGTCTCAAACAAGCGGTAAAACAAAACAAAGCAGAGCTGGGGAGAGATGGTTCAGTCAGTGACGTGCTTGCTGAGCAAACCTGAAGACCTAAGGTCCAGTTCCCAGGACTGGTGTAAAAGCTGTCTTAGCAGCACATGTCTGTGACCCCAGTGTTGGGGGTGCAGAAGCAGAAAGGTCCCTAGAGCTCCCTGGCCAGCTAGTCCAGCTGAAATATGGAGCTATAGGTTCAGCGAGAGACCCCATCTCAAAAAATAGTATGGAGAGTGATAGAGGCAGATCAAATAGTCACATAACACACACACACACACACACACACACACACACACACACACACACACCCCACAACACTTCTTGAACAAAAAAAGTAGCTATGTCACATTTCCACTGCTATGTTTGCTTTATTTTTACATTATGTGTGCTCAGGTTTTGACAAACATTAGATTTGTTTTTTCTTTTTCTTTCTTTCTTTCTTTCTTTCTTTCTTTCTTTCTTTCTTTCTTTCTTTCTTTCTTTCTTTCTTTCTTTCTATTTAGACTCTTACAAAGGTAGGCTTGCTCTATCTTGGGTATTTATCAGTTGTTATTTTTGTTTTCGGGAAGTGTTTCATCTTACTGTTCTGAAGCAGTCCTAGCAGCTGCTGCAGGAGCTGTCGATTCCTAGTTAGTCCTAGGATGGGGACCTGTGCAGAGTGTCGATAAATCACCACCTGGAGAGCTGAGTAAGCTAACAGCTTGTCTTCAAGGATGGTTCAGTGTTGAAGGGACAGGAAGGAGATGGCTACCCCTGCCAATCACAGAGCAATATAATAGGAGAGGTGGATGCCTGACAATCATACCAAAAACCCATCAGAGAAGCTGGCAGTGGTTTAGGGGAAGGGCAGTGTAGGCTGCTATGTGACTGGTGAGCTGTCATTCCCTCAGCTCTGTGTTATTGACAGCCTCCTGCGAACTGCACTGTCTGCTCAAGGGTTAGTTCATAACAGTCTGGGCTACAGAGATCCGGGCCTCCGAGGCGTCCTTTAAGATTGTAAGCCAGGTCACATTGGGCATCTATTGAAGAATAAAGGCTTGGTCTGCGGCCTTGCAACCACGAGGACCTGAGCTCAAGCTCCAGGACTCATGTAAAACAGAACAGGAATTGTATCCTGTGCTTGGAATTCCAGCACTGGGGAGGCAGAGGCAGGCCGAGTGCCGGGCCTTGCTCACCAGCCAGCCTGGCCTGGCCAGTGAATTGCAGTCAAATGAGAGACCCTGTCTCTCGGGGTACATGGTGCCCAAAGAATGATACTGAACGTTATCCTCTGGCTTCCATAGGCAAGTGCACTATGTCCATGTAAACACACACACACACACACACACACACACACACACACACACACACCTGCACACACACACACACAGCATTTAGAGACAATGAGAAGAGTAGCATCTAGTGTCACAGAGAGGTCTCAAAACACCATTATCTCATCACCTCCTCCTCACTCTACCTCATCCCCTCTCATACTTCCCTCCTTCTTTTTCTGTATTGAGCTCATTGTCCTACCTCCAGGCCACAGAGGACTTCCCCCTCTCCCCCAATAGCATCTCCTGGTGTGTCAAGGTATCTCAAAGAAAAGTACTCTCTGGCTTCTTGGTAAAAACTATCCCTTTTCTTGCCACGTCTATCTAGCCCCCACGGTTATTTCATTTTCTTTGTTGCATTGCCCATCAACTCACATTGTATGGATTTCTATCTGGTTTTGTTCCCATGTTCTTGGGTCCCTTCACAATGAAGTTTCCAAGAGACTGGATATGGGCATGTTTGCATTTGTAGAGGCAATATGTATGGATTTCAGGGCACACACACACAGGCTCAAAGTTTGAAAATGGCTTTCTTTTTCCACCATGTGGGTCCACGTCCATCCTGCTTGGTGGCAAATGCCTTTACCCTCTGCGTCATCTCACAAGCCTTTACATACAGTTTCAATGGGGGGTTCTTAAGCTTCATTCACTGATGACTCCTTTGATCCAGTAAACTTTTAGATAACCTTAGGTATATAGGCATACAAAACGGGTATCTAAGTTAAATATTTATGGATAATAAGTCATAAAGAAAATTATTTTAAAACAATTCTTTGAAATACATATGATTTTGTCACTTATGAATAACTAAAGCAAATATGAATACTAATGGAATGGGTGTGTTTGTTTCTCTTTAAATAAGGACTTAATTCTTGACTGGATATTTGATACTGCAGGATTTGGAGCATCTGTAGTCTGAAGAGATGATCAATATTTGAGTTTCATAACTATGTTGAGAATGCCACTTCATAAAAATATGTGGTACAAAATGGCAGAACTATATTTGGAGGCATCTTGGAAAAATTTCGAAGATTCTTTACTAACCTCACGTGTAATTTCTGTAGTAATCATCTTCTATGAAACTCAAGTTGGCCATTGAAACAGCAATTTAAAAGATCAAATACACCAGCATGGCACAGTTGAAAGATGCACTCCTTAGTTAGTGACATGCCAAAGACTAATGGTAGGAGCATAGTAAACCTTTATGTTTCTGGGAAAGTAAAATCTTTCGTGTTATGAAACACTGTCATATGTAATGTACAAGGGCCTCAGACTTGAGCGCGGGAGAGTTTCAGATGGTTCGTTAGTGTCCTGTAGTGTGATGACAATTCATAAGGCAACAGGCGTCATGTGGCATGACGGCCATGTGCGATGCCACATGGACACACGGTGTTCACGGTTAAAACACTGGTGAGTGCTGGCGCAGACATTTCGGGTTAGTTGGGTGTGGTGACACGAGACTGTCATGCAAGCACTTGGGAGGGAGAGGCAGGAGGATCAGGTGTTAAAATCACAGTTTTCAGCTGTACGTTGAGTTTGAAGCACAGTCTGAATTACATTAGACAACCACAGCAGCAACACCACCTTTTAAACAAGTCAAGGACGTGGCTCAGTCAGTAAAGGTGCTTGCTGCTACTCTCACGATCTTCGTTTGAGCGCGGGACCATGGAGTCACTACTCGCAGGTTAAGAAACTCAGTTTAGATCACTCTGGAGTACTTACACCATCTTACACACTGTATGTGATGCGTAAGTACTTGGTCCACTGTATTGTTTGAGGAATAAAAAGATCTTTGCATGTTCTGTACTGATGCATATACTTATTTTAATTAATTAATTTGGCGCCTTTTTGTGTGTTATTTCATATTTCTTGTTTTATTATGTGACGGGGGAAATGTGTTGGGCTGTGGCCAGAAACCTGGATATCAAGTCCCTCCTGGGAAGTTGAGGCACCGGTTTGAAGCTTAGAGAACAAAGGAGCAAGAAGCATGTGTTTCCTATTTTTTTCTAAGTAAGTAAGTAAATACTTGTATTTCTTTCTGGTTTAATTCATTTAAAATTAATTTTTAAGACAGGGTCTGCCTGTGTAGCCCAGGATCACTGTGTCCAGCATTCACATGGTTGCTGGGGATCTGAACTCAGGTCCCTCTGCTTATGCAGCAAGCACTGTACTGACTGAGCCGTCTCTCCTTCCCCCAGGGAGGTCTTCGTTTAACAGTGAAGCTAGCATGAAGAATGCCAAGCCTCCGTAGATTCTGGAAGCCTGCAGAGGCTGTTCACACAGAGGAGAAAGATGTCACTTCATGGCAACCGGTGAAAATGAGCACAATTCACTCTTTAGATTCTAAAGTTGTTGGCAGTGCTGAAAGTTCAAAAGATTTAAATTCTTTTGCAACATTTAAATTAAGCTGGAGGTATTAAGAGCCGCCACTGATTTTCTCCTGGTTTCATTTTTAGAGTCCCATTTCTACAATCCTACTACATTGCATTCAGGCTTTAAAATTACAGCTCAGCAATCTATTTTAAAAAGTAGAAGTTTGGCCGGACGTGAACGGATGATTACACTTGATACAGCTGATTTCACAACTGTTTTTCTCTACTACTTAAAAAAAAAATCTTGAACTCTGAACTCTAATCAAAGAAAATCAAAATGTCCATGTGAGTTTTTGGGTTGGCATTTACATCTTGGCAAATGATCTAAATGTTGTCTCTTTTCTAATCAAGGAATTAAAGCAGAAAGACCTTTCTTGGAGAAGAGTGTGCCTTTCTATTTCAGTGGCTCTTCCTCGTTTCTTTCAGCATACTGAGATAAGTAAGGACTGTGTGGTCTCCTATTGCACCTTTCCCCGTTACACAAAGTGCTGGCTGGTGGCAGCTGGGAGAAACAGGAAAGCTGTGGCTGGGCACTGGACAGAACACTCCTGGGTACTGTGCTTGGCCACCCTTCCATCTGCTTCAGTGCTACAGGCCAACAGGACTGCCCAGCCAGTGCAGATGGCCTGGTGGGCACAACCTATAGAGGACTTTGCCCATCAAGGAGTGCAGTTGGGCTGGGGGATGGCTCTGTTTGTCAAGTGCTTGCAGCACAAACAAGATGACCTGGGTTCAATCTCCAGAACCCATGTGAAAAGCTCTCCAAGGTGGTGCATGCCTGTAAGCCTGGTACTGGGGTGGTGGGGACAGGACCCTGGGGCTTGCTGGCACTTATTGGCCAGCCAATCTAGTGGAAACGGTGAGCTTCCAGTCTAGGAAGCGACAACACTCTCTGACCTCCATGTATATGCACTTGCATGCAAACCTGCACGTAACACACACACATACATACATACACATCACATATACACATACACCAAATAAAATACAACAAAGAAAGTCCTTTTTCCTTCCTGCATGTTCAGAGATGAGTAAGAGGATACTGAGAAACATAAGTCGTACTTCTTAGGGAATCTTTAATTTTGTTGAGCCTCTAGTTTGACACAAACATGGTTGAGCATTTGATGGTAGATCAGAAACGGACCTGAAAGCCAGGGACCTGAAAGCCAGGGACAGGCTGGAGATTCTTCCCTTCCCATGCAGGGCCATTCTGCTCTTCTCACTGTTCATTTCACTATTATTTGTAGGAGTGCTGGGCTGCCCAGCAGGCTTCGGATGACTGTGGAATGATGACAGCCTGCAGCAATTTTCTATTTTTGAATTAAGTTACCATTTGACATACAAAATGTAAAATTTCCATAATCCTGCTACCAGAGCGACAGCCTCATACTTTGCCATTTGTCCGTTCCCTCCCCTTTCTCTGTGGAATAATTGGCAGGCAGTCCGGAAGGTTCCTGTGTGTTCTCCAGGCTGAGTTCTTGCTGACGGGTACTCTGAAGTACTGGTATAGCTGGCCTATAGAGACATTTCATGCAGCCTCCAAGTGAAGCCTGCCTGCACCATGGTCCCGCTGTCCGCCTGCGAGGTTTTCCATGGTGACCTCTGACAGTAAACAGTATTGTCACTCCCAGAGTGAACATGAGTGCATAAAGAAAGAAACTGATGCCCCCACCCCTTGGCTGAGAGCATCAGAACAATCCAGTCACCCTGCGATTTAGCCTCATTGAACTATGTGAAAAAGACAGAGGTGAAGAGCAACCCACATCCCAGGGGCTGCAGCCTGCTCTCCAATACTGGCTCAGAGTCATTTTCAGTTAAGACCTGAGGTAAATATTTAATCCTTGTTCATATTTAATACTCAATAGGCAGATGGAGGAAAAGAGGATGTGGGCTGTATTTCAGCGCATTTCAATAAAGTGCCTACTGTGCGGGCACAAGGACCTGAATTTACATCCCCAGCACTCACATAGAAGCTAGGCAGGATGGAGTGTGTCTATAACCCGAAGGCAGGGATAGGCAAAGAAAGATGAATCCCCAGGGCTCACTGGCCAGGCAGTCTAGCCAGTTGGTTAGCTCTGGGTTCAGTGAGAGACACTGTCAAAATATAAGGTGGTTGATAAGAAAGACACCCAATGCCAATACTCTGGTCCAAGAACAGGCAAACATGAGCACATACTCATATTCTAATACACACACACACACACACACATACACACACACACAGTGGGGGAGGCAGGATGTGGATCTGGACTCTGCCTCTCTGGGCATCTGAAACTTGCTCACTAGCTCTCTGCTTGGGGAAATTTAGTAAAAATTTCAGAGCCTTGAATTTCTCGTCTACAAAATGGGCACACCAATGTCTCTCTCATGGGGTTGTTGTGAGGATTAAATGGGACATCCCATGAAGATCACACAGCCCTGAGGCTAGTCCATAATAAGCAGTGGCAACTGTTAGCTCTGATCATCCTGACTGTTCGGTACTGAGACGTACATATAGTGAGGATTATCTTTTTCTACGAGAAAAATGCTCTGTGTTTCTGGAAGGGAGAGATAAGTGAAGTCTGTGCAGCGTTCGGAGTGACTGAGAAGGCAGGGAGGGCTCTGCAGTGTCCATGGAGGGTTTCCAGCTTAAAATTCCCCTAGGCAAAGCTGAGCGCGGGGCTGCTTCCTTATCACACCTCGCTCAAATCTCAGGCAGCACTGGCTCTGGAGGCTTCTGTGGTTCTGGCTTAGAGCTATAGAGTGGTGAGTGACAGAGCAGGCTCACACTACAATCTCTCTTCCTGGCTAAGTGTTTGATAATTCTGGTCTCCTCTAGATAACCACATTAGTGAAGTTTTCTGTGTGAGCCTTCTAAAGAACCAGGAGGAAGCTGTCACCTCCGTGTACAGCGGTACCCATGAGGCTTGGCCACAGACTCTGGGATTGTTTCTCTCCCAGGTCTGCTTTGTCTGTCTTTATCTGGCAGCAAGTGGTTCTTGATAATCTATTGGTAAAAACAAACAACCAAACACACACACACAGTCCCGTGCAAAGAGGACCACCCAGAAAATTACAATGATACGAGGAGGAAAGAGCTGGGTAAATGGATTCCAGCTTTTGGAGATGTCCTTGCAAGGAATAAACACTTGAATAAGCAACATCACAGTGCAGAATTACAAGCACAGCACAGAATCCCTTGCATTTGATCTCAACCTCAGTTATACAATTCTGTGGAACTCTTCCTAATATTTTAGCTTAAGTTGTGGTGGTTTGGGGGGAGGGGGAGAAGTAGTTTGGAGGCAATTCAGTCTGGATATACACTACCAGGACAGAAAGTTGACCCTGAAGAGACCAGTGAGTTGTTCAAGGACCCAGAGATAGATGGTGGCTAGGGTCACTTGACCCCTGGCTCCATGCCATTTCCCTCCATCTTCCATGTTGTGCTGGGTGGCTCCAGCCAGTGAGAGCCTGAATTAATATCTATTCTCCCTTGAAGAATTACCATCCATTCTCTCTTTCCAAAGGGCCTTGCTGCATACCAAGGTCCTGTTCCTGCTCATGTCTTAATGTTGACCTGTCACCTTGTCAAATGGATTTGTCTTCCCCACACCTTTGGGCTCCCCTTCATGTCTTAAGTCACTGCCCATCTCACAATGGAAATGTGATGGTCTCTTCTTGAGGGAATAGGATAAAGATCAGTGAAATAAGAGCATAGAGATGAAGAATTGGGAAACAGTGAGGCAAATAGCCTCTTTTTATATTACAGTTGAGAAGAAAGGGTTTCTAACGTGAATTCCATGCAGTGTAGGAAACCCTTTTTCTTGGGATCCACCGAAGATCTAAATTCTCTGAAATCCTGGTTCTCAGCTTTGCTCTCCTTTCCCTGGCGCTCAGCACAGCACGTGACATGCGGAAGTCACTTCTGGCGAAGCAGGGATACAGAACCGCTCATGTCCTACTCATTTCTTTTTTAAGCGAAATGTCTATAGTGTCTCTTTTCCCCCATTATTTTCCATACGACACACAGTTCCCTCTGTCTCCATGCCCTGGGTATGCTATGCGGGTCCAGAATATTCTATTCAGCTGGTGACTCTGCACATGCCATGCTGGGCTGCAAGTGGAGAAGGACGGGCAGCCTGACTCAATTTCCCCCAGGAGCAGGGCCCCATTTCCCAAGCATTACTCCAGATTGCACTGGCTCTGTTACTGCTGGTAGCTGGGTCACGTTCTTGGCTGGTCTTGAGCTTTTGCCATGTTTGCCTTTTCTGTTTTTCTTTTTCTTCCTCCCTCCTTTCTCTCTGCCTCTGTCCCTTTTTTCATTATCTTTCTTTATTTCTCTCTCTCTCCCCTGTCCCAAATGCACAAACCTCCTGCCTTGATTCTCTCAAAGTTTGAGATTGAAGGCTTGTGCCACCATGCCCAGTTTCATCATGTATTTTTTACTTAATATTATGGATGTGTGTTTGTACACTAAAATATTTTTTCTTGAAGGTTGGGTATATGGAGAAATTTTTATTTTTGTTGTTGTTGTTGTTGACATTTGGTTAGTCATGGCCAAAGTGGCTGCCTCTTGCTCATACCACTTTCTCTAGTGGAGCTGACAAAGACAGAAGGAATCTGGCATCCTCAAAGACTGAGACAAGTGAGAGAGGGAGGAAGGTATGGAGGGAGGGAAGGACAAGGGGAGAGCTTATCCTTAGGGGCAATAAGGGAAGCAGAAAGCTGGGTAAAATACAGAACCACCATCCATACACCTCTCTGGGGACATCCCTCATGTCTGACAGCCTGTATCTCATAGGCGAAGAAACCACACCAGCCATAATCAACAAAGGGAAGAGACACACCACAACTATGACACATTACAATGTACATGGTCTGATCTAACAGAGTGCCATGGGGGTGGGGGGCAGAGGAAGGGGTTCAGCTGGTGAATCACTGGTCACACCAGCATGCAGACTATGATCCCTGATAGCCACACATGAAGCTGGCAGTGGTGGTATGAATGCTTGTAAGCCCAGTGCTGGGGAGGCAGAGACAGGAGGATCCCTGGGGGGCAGTGCCAGACTAGCCAGTGAGACCTGGGTTCCTGTGAAAAACTCTGACTTACAAAACAAAGTGGATGGCTCCTAAGGAAGGGCACTTTGACCTCTGGACTCCCCACGTACATGCATGTGCCTAAACACACACACACACACACACACACACACACACATGCACACTAGTACTACAGAATACCAGAAGCATCTCTCTGTGGTTAATTGAAATTTCATACTGTGGGGGGAAAGTAGGCATTTTATGACAA